AAATAGAAATACTACCATTTTGTAAACGGGAAAATAAATAAGAAACAAGAAACTTTTCAAATATTTGTCTAAAAAATTTTTTCATGAAATAATATGCGCTAACGCCGCTAACAACTCTAAAAAAATCGACTTTATGCCAAATATGCCTTAACACCAAAAACATGCACTATTAAACTTCATATTATTATTATTTTTATTACTTTAAAGCCTCAACAACTAAGGTTATTAGCTTACATATTTTAAAATATTACTTATATATACACTATACAGGTACAATTTACAATACATTTTACAATATTACAATAAAATTATTCTTGGTAGGTATGTGTAATTAAAGTAGGGGAATATCTAGGAAAACATATGAAATTATATGAGGTTATAAAGTTTGGTTATTTTTAGGAAAGTTAGAATATTRACTTCATATTATTGTTACTACTGTTATGAAACGGATTTGTATCTCAGTTAGCATGTTTTCCTGWGTAGCAGAAAAAACATGCAGATGCATGAACTTATGAGCCTTGGTTATTATACATTAATATTACATGAGAACATCAACTTCCAATCTAAATGAGGCATTTTTTGCTAAAATAGGATTTARTACTCCAAGAATATTTAGTAAAAAATGTAATTAAATGTAGTTCACTTAATTATAGTTCACTTTTTACCTTAGCACAAACATCGATGTTATTTGGACCAATACCTCCATCAACTTCAATGTCCAWTGTGGGATATTTTTCTCTCAAAAGTTCAATTTTTGGCATCATGTCTGTCATAAATTTCTGACCACCAAATCCAGGTTCAACCGTCATCACTAAAATCATATCAGCCATATCTATATATTCTTCAACACATGTAACCGGAGTGCCAGGTTTTATTGCTAAGCCTACTTTCATGCCAGCTTCTTTGACTTTACGGCATACTAAAGGAACGTCATCACATGGCTCAATGTGAAATGTGTATTGATCCACGTTAGCATCAGCCATAGCAGAAATCCACTAATAAATAAAATTTAAAAATTTAAATATTGGGCATCAATGCATTATACACAAAAACTTTTACATGCATATTTATTTTAAACTTTGTCTCAATGTAGAATACACCAGCCGGTGAACTGTTCCCATCAACCAGGGCGCTTYTCCTACATAACGCCATAAATAGTGACTGGTAGAAGAGGAAAAGTGCACAGAACTAGTATATTCTATTTTGAGACGGAATATGAATAAATTTTACTTGAATTGGATTTTGAACCATCATGTGTGTTTCAAACACAGTGTTAGGTAACTTAGTTCTTAAACATTTCACGACTGGATGTCCAAAAGTTAGATTAGGAACAAAAGTCCCATCCATAACATCTAAGTGTAAATAATCTGCTCCACTATCTACCAACTTTTGAGATTCATTATACAACTGCGATAAATCAGCGTTCAAAATAGATGGACCGATTTTACAAGATAATGTTTTGGCCATTTTCTAAAAATATAACAATAAGTTATTAATTTTTTTTTTCATTTGAATATAAGAATTTCGTTAATCAGGACTAACTGGGATTCTAGGTTGTTCAATTTAATGAACGTTTGAATAAACAAAATTACCTAAGGGAAAAAGGCGGAAAGCACCCCCCTCCCCCCGGTCTATAACAGGGATTAAGTACCTTTTCGTAGGAAAGATCAATTTTTTTTAATAAGTTACTAAACCATAATGTCCAGAGAGTCGTACAATTTATTTTAAGAATGATAAAAATTAAAAATCATTCAATTATGTATGTTCAAATAATAATATTATCTGCATATTTACAAGTTTAAAGAATACTTAGGAAACATTATAGGGCTTTTTTAGAACATATTAGTATCATATTTTAGGCTTTTAAGAACCTAAAAATCCACTCTTTAGTTATTAATATACAACAGTGGGTTTCACGTGAGCGCATCACATTATTCAAAAAAAATTACTTTTAAAAWGAAATTTCAGTACCATTGTGTTAGTTAAAATAAAATATAATGAAATTAGTATAGCGTTGCWGCAAAAATAATATTTTGCAACAGTAATTTGTAATTTACATTAAATTTCTACCAAACAATGCAAACTGAGTAGTTTAAAAAATCTAGTTAATTCAAATTGAGATGTTTTTAAGATAATATTAAGTATCACAAAACAAATTCTGTACAGATTCATATTTAACACAATAACAATTTTAGGAACTAGAATCTCCCCATTTTTTTTTTTTTTTTTATCAGCAAATTGATGAATAAAATTTCCCTATTTATTTATTTTATTGTTGTAATATCTATCACTTTAATAAATTATAGTTTAGGTATATGCTATATACATAATATATTATCTTTTATGCAATAATTCTGTACTTATCTACTTTTACTAACTATAAATAATATATTATACTGTGTTTGTATTGCTATACAAAATTGAATAAGCATTTTCTAATCCTTATTCAATGATAAAATTCTACATGACCATCATATTAGTGAGATACATCCAGGGGTTAAAGTGGAGGGGGACACAGGAGGACTCAGTCCCCTTACCTCTGATGGCGGTTAAAAAGCGTCCCCTTTAACAAATTAGGATTTTATACATTAGACATTATACCTAAAATTATATATGGAACGCTTAAAACTTTATGGAGACATCAGTCCCCTCTGGAATTTTTCCCCACTTTAACCTCTGGATACATCCTATTAGTTAGGTATGAAACTTGATTGTAAACCAACTAAAAATTTATTAATCATAATAGATTGTATGAATTCAAACAAAAAAATTCAAGTTAAGAGGACATGCAATAAGTGTGCAAAACAAAACAAAAAATATAATATAAAGGTAGGCAGATTTGTTAAAAATAGGGTAATAATAATAATTA